TTGAGTCCCAGTTAACCTTCTGGTAATTGAGGAAGTGTGTCATTCAATAGTACACAGTAGTGCTGCTTGGATACCGTGTAGGTGTTTGAAGGGCCCTTGTGTAGATTTTTCTCAATTTCAGATAATCCAGGAGCTTCATGCTATAGTGATAAATGAGAAGTGTGCCTTTTCTGGTTTTACAGACAACAGCTTTTAGGATCACCATTACATGTGTTATTTCACTTGTTTGTGTTACATTCTACCGTGATTTACTGAAAGAGAGAACAAGAAATGTTAAGTAGAGAATCATAAAACAGGATAAAAATGTAACCATATTATGGGGAGAAAGAACCAATGTATTCTTTTCCTTTTTTCACTCCAGTTGGCTGAGGGACTGAAGTTGAGTCTTGAAACCATGTTTGTACCAAATACAGGGTAAGTATTCCTCTTTTAGAAATTGGACTCTTTGGTTACATCCATTCCCCATACATAGGATGTGGTATAACATCCAGACAGCTTTTCTAAAACCATGAGGATACCCCTCCCTCTCCTGGAACTCCCAAACACTTCTGGAAAATACCAGGATGTGGGAGGCAGAATTAGATGACGTAGAAGATGCTTTTCCTCCTACATTTATTTAACATGTCTTTAACATGTCAATAAAATACAGTTTTTGGGATTCCACTGATGCCATCTAACTGTTGCAGGCATTGTATTGCTGATTATTTTCATAACATTGGGTTGGCAGAGCTTTGATCTCTAAAATTTAATAGAAAATGTCAATGAAATATATTGTGTGCTACATACTAGAGATAGACAACCTGACCCTATCTTCTCTTCTTTTTCTTAACCTCCCCTTTTCCAGGAAGAAAAGTGGGAAGTTGAAGACATCTTACAAACGAGAGTTTATAAATATAGGTTGTAATGTTGATATCGATCTCTCTGGACCAACCATTCATGGCTGGGCTGTGTTGGGCTATGATGGTTGGCTTGCTGGCTATCAGATGGCTTTTGACACAGCCAAATCCAAACTCTCACAGAATAATTTTGCCTTGGGCTACAAGGCAGCAGATTTTCAGCTGCATACAAATGTGTAAGTACTGATTGAAGGCAAAGGGGCCTAAATGTGTGTGTGTACGTGTGAGAGATGAATACATATTGCACAGTTGAACAAGTCTTTGTCCTTGGGGGATGCAGACTTCAGGCTGAATGAACTGATGTCTTGCTGTAGGTGGTTTCTTTTCTAGTTGTCAATTGAGATTTTGCTAGCGTAGCAACTATTAGAGGGGTTTTTTTGTAATTTGAAAAAGGCCTTACATTTTGAGAATAACTGAACATGTCAGAGCTTGCAGACACAGCTGATTGACTGGTTGTAGTAATGTCCATCCTGAAGAAGCTGGAGTCTTTATTTATATTTTTCTCCCCAGTTTCTCTTCTCTGGAATTACACTGTGGCTTATTACAAGCATTGTAGGAGGCAAAAAAAATCAGGAATTTGGTAGCACCTGACCAAAGCTCATTGTCTTTCAATAAAATATGTTAGTGGGAAAAGGTGCTACCAGACTTTTGATTTCGTGGCTTGTTAAGTGATTTTTAACTTGGCACCAAACATATGTGCTGTTCCATCTCCTGATACAGTTGGGAGAAATCCCTTGGGATGTTTTTACAACCCTTCCAAACTTTTTCTAATTCCAGCTGTTCATGAGAAATCTTTATACATCACCTAACTCTAAAGTGTTGAATACATTAAGAGAATGTCAAGGCCAGAAGAAAATTACTCAGATTATTGATTAAACTCTTGTCAGTCTGTTTACCTGAAAGAGAGCAGGGGAAGAAAAAGTGTGTGTGTGTGTGTGTGTCAAGTTGAATTGAGGCAACATTCTTTTAGGTGGGGGCAGAAATGAAACTTCATCTAATTTGTTACCAACAGGAACGATGGCACTGAATTTGGTGGCTCAATCTACCAGAAGGTTAATGATAAGGTTGAAACATCTGTAAGTCTTGCTTGGACTGCTGGTAGTAATAACACTCGGTTTGGTATTGCCACCAAATATCAGCTGGATGATAAAGCTTCTGTCTCGGTAAGAATTTTGCCATTTTTCTAGAACGTTATAACTATGTTGGTTAATGGAGTCATTTGGATGTCATACACTCTCTCTTCTCTCTTCCTCCTAATCAACTCCTTGTTGGTTAATCATGATTTTTTTTTTAATCTGCCACAGTAGCTATGGTTAATTTCAGTGTAGCAAGCTCCGGGAACTGTGGTTTGAGGTTGTTAGCCGATTAACAAGTTTGGATGATGTGACATCAAACAGCAGAACTGAGGGGATGCATAGGCTATTCACATCTCACTAACCATCATTTAGCAAGATTTCTGCACATCCCATGTGAATGTGTTGCACCTTGTTTTGTTACTTCTTGGTTTAATTTATTTCCACTGTGGCATTAATCTTTCCTTTTTATCACTCATGGGATCTTCTCGTGGAAGAGTTTTGTATGATTCAGTAAACGCTATTAGCGTACAAAAATGTAGTATGCATATGATAGTTGCTGATGGTAGCTTTGAGCTACGTGTATAAAGGATCTTAACCTGGGGTCCATGGATAGATTTCAGAGGGTCTTTGAACTTGGGTAGAAAAAAACCCTGCCATTTTATTATCACTAAGCTCTAACAGAAATGTAGCTTTTCATTTAATAATGAATGTGGGCAACCAAGTAATTTATGGCCTCTAGACTCCAAAAATCTCATGATAGTTATTTCCCATTAATTTCATACGTAAGAACAGCAAGATTTATGTCTATAGCTGTTGGCACTATTGTTTTGCCCAAGGTTGCTGAAGAAGACTTGCATAGCAAAATTTTCATATGGGCAATTGTTACTAGGTGTTAGCTGTAGTTCTCAAAAACTTCAGCTTTCAAGATATACGCATAAATGCTTGTCCTAGGAAAGAACCCACGTATCATTATGCGCTGCGCCTTTCTTTCTTTTTAGGCCAAAGTGAATAACGCCAGCCTCATTGGACTTGGTTACACTCAAACTCTCCGACCTGGTATGTTAATGATATGCTATACTGAATGCTCGGCTTTTCAATTTTAATAATACCATAGGTGTACAAAGGGTATGTAAATGTAGTGGAACTTTCAGTCAAAATATACTGAAAAGTTTTGTGTATTGTAAACCTTAGGGAAGACCAGCGTGGGATGGGATTTTTAAAAAGCAAGTTTCTAGTTCTTGTGATTGTAATCACTGGCATGAGAGCGTGTAGGCAACGTCAGTTGAAACTCAGAATAGCTCAGTGGGATACCATGTGGATCACAAGAGTGAAGTGTATGAATCTGGCAAATAACAGTACGTGCTATTGCACGTGGTGAGCAATCGTGCCAAGAGAGAATCCTGTCCTAAGAACCGAAGGGCAAATGAAGGGAAGGTAGCTAGATTAACCAAAACCAGTCTGGAGTTTTCTCACGTGGAACTCCTCAGCAAATGGATAGACGTTTAACAAAAGCTTAGAATCTGAGACCCGGCACTGTTTGCTTCAGCTTTACCAACCCTGGGTTTCTCCTGCCTGTCATTTTTTTTTTTTTTTTGTATTGGCTACAAGTGGTCTGCTGTATTCTCTAACAATGATGTATTTCTACCAGGTGTGAAGTTGACTCTCTCAACTTTGATTGATGGCAAGAATTTCAGTACTGGCGGCCATAAAATTGGTCTGGGATTTGAGCTGGAAGCTTAATGTAGGTTTTGATGAAGTATTAGATCTTTATTTGGAAGATGAAGGAGAAAATAAACCCCACATGTTCTGGCCTTAAACTCTTCTGTGAAACTTCAAAAAGCGTGAACTTGATAACCTTCCAAAGAATTGTTGTAACCCCCAACACTGAAGTCTGGAGAGTGCAACCCAGTGAAGGGCAATACTTGAAGGAATGCATGGAAGTTGTAATGGTTGTGCTACATTTCAGTTCAGTTCCTCAGTTATTTTAAAAGTGTTCCTCAGAAGACAGCATAGCATCTGGTTAAAGGAAGAATCTCCCATTTCCCATCCTTCTGTGTTACTTCATCACATCGTGCATGTCCAACATTTCATGACCTTTTGTAAAACTGGTCTCTGTGCTGTAGTGATAGCTTTGGTTTTGCATCAAAATGGAAATAAATGAAATCACATTTGGAACCTAATCCTTTGTTTGATTAATGCTGTCTTTAAAATCCTAAGTGTTCTCTGTGTGGGACCAAACCAGCAAAGATAGGAAAATAATTGTTGGAGGGGTTGCATGACATTTCTTTCTGTAACTCACACAGTTTTGCTGCCAAAGCAAACTATTTAAAACTGCTGCTCTCTCAAGTAGGAAAACTAAATTCTTGTATGTAGCACTTGATAGGGAATAAATATAGTAGCAAACTAAATGCTCCTTTCTTCACCAGTGGAGGAATAGCAGCACTCGCCATTTTGGATATGTTATTTTTCTGCTATTTCCCTCTCTCGAGGAATAACATTATCAGAATGTGTGCCTTTCAAATACTATAAATTAATATTGCTTAACAAATAAATTAATAAAATAGCTGTTGTGTTAAGTCTGTTTCTGTATTAAAAGTTGTAGTTTATAGCCTTTATTACAACAATATATTTTTCCATCACGGCCTGCTGTGAAAAAAATATAAAATAACAGGAAGAGCCTTTTTTGCATTTGGAGGGCACAGTTTTTTTTTTTAAATTGGTCTCTGAGGCCTGCAGAGCACATGGCTTGGGAAAAGATTCAGGCTTTTAAGGCACAAAATGTGATTATTTTTTAATAATGTATTTTAAAATGTAAACTTAATGTATCCACTTAGTTCTTGTTTTAGAAGAAAAATATCCCTGGGAATAATTGCACCATGGAATATTGGTGGTTCCCCAGATCCCAGATACTTCACTGCTTTCAGCTTTTTAACCGTAACCCTACCCAAAACCTGGTTAGAAGAACTAAAACCATTTGACCATGCAGACTTGATAAAGAGTGGTAATTTTACCACTTACAATAACCAAATAAGGCTTCAATATCATTTATTTCTTTGAGGAAATTTCTACCTATCTCAAAACAGTGTTGACAGCAAAGTTCCACTGAGGAAGCTGTAAAACTAGATGCCTAGCGTCTTCCACACAGTCCCTGCAAACGTCACTCAAACATTTGAATGACTTCAGGAGGGAAGCCTGAGTGCATACCGATGCATGTGTTGACCCCCATCCATACATTATAAAGTTCCTAGCTCACGTGGAAACCAATGCAGCTTCTGTCCCACAAATATATTTACAGCCACATTAACAGGGAATTGTATCGTAGGTGGAAGTCTCATATTAAGAGCACTCTAACTTCTTTCCTTGCTGGAAGCAGAGAATCTTCCTCATGTACATCAGGGTAGCAAAACATGTGTTAACCTATCTTCAGTGTCTGCAATTAAGCAGTAATACGGAAACAGGCACCACCATCAAGGGCCTAGGTTAGACAGCTTTTACCCGAAGTATCAATTTAAACTAAAGTCATACAGAAAAATATAGTTTATATACAGTTGAGTAAGAATCAAATACATCACTTAGGGTCGCCCAGTAGGCTGCAAGTATAGATTTCTCACCAAGAACAGTTACAGTAAGGTCAAATCATCCACAATTTTTATGTGATTAAATTAAAATCATGTTCACATCTGAGTCTGTTCTAGGCTTTTTCTTTCTTCTGCTGGAAGTTTCAGCCAACTCCAGTCCAAAGTCTAAATACAAAGAAAATATATGTTCCTATTAATGTACTCTGCATTTGTTAACACACAGACAGACCGATAGATATGTGAGTTAACTAAATTCCACCCCCCCCTTTTCCTCTACCCCTGTTTAAGCAGTGCTAAATATAACTAGCTGGCTGAAAAGTGAGAGTTGCCCTCATTACTTTCCTCCCAACCCATCACTTTATAGCAGAGGGCCAGATGTTACCATAAAGCTATGCTCTTGATCCTTCATTGTATCCAGCATGACATTCTCCAGCTGATTGCAGAGGCTATGAGATTCCATCAGTAGATCCTCACTAAGAGAAAATTATAAGAGATCTTTTCAAGAACATTTCACAAGAAAAATATTTGGTATGAAGAAATGCCACCTCCTAATCACTGCATACTTTTATCTCCTTTTCATCCCCCAGAGGTCTGCACTAGCCCAATTAAAATAGTCCGTTATTATTTTGCACAATACCCATTTTTTTTCTAACTCCAAAGGGTTTCATAGGACAGTCCACTATGTTGTTAAGTAGTGTTCAAGAAAATAAGCCTAAAGCTTCTGAATTAATAGATATATTTGAGATTCGGCCAGTTTCCATTACAGGTAGTCCTCGCTTAACGACCCTAGTTGGGACCAGCAACTGCCGCTAAGCAAAGTGGTTGCTAAGTGGGAAATCGTGACCATGACTGCTTTCTGGCTAGACTCTTTCTAGACTACTTTCTAGACTTCAAGACTACTCAGTTTCACACCTTCGGCTTTCATTTGCCTCCCAACCACTCCTTTGCCATTTGGAATGCTCGAGTGCTTGCTTGCTGTCTTGCACACATCAAAAGAAATGTGATCGCGCCATAGCCTGGGAGCTATGGGTGCACTACGCAAGCAGCTTACTCTCTTGAAATCTCTTTCCAATCTCTCCACTCTGCGAAAGAAAGGGAAAGCAAGTGATTTCTGTAGTCAATCTCTCCTTTGCCTGACCCTTCCCCCCCTTCCCCAGCAGAGCAGAGAGATTGGAGAGGGATTTCAAGAGAATAGCCTGTTTGCAGCAGTGAGAAAGAGCCAGGCAAAGGAGAGATTGCCTACAGAAATCACTTGCTTTTTTCTCCCCTTTCACCTCCCCCCGCCCCCTGCAGAGCAGAGAGATTGGAGAGAAAGAGATTTCAAGCGAGTACTGTAAGCTGTTTGCATAACCCTGGGCTGCCAGTGCAACTGCATTGCTTTTGATGTGTTGTGGAGCAAACAGCTTACTCTCTTGCAATCCCTTCCTCTCCATCTCTTTGCTCGGGGGGGGGGGGGGGGGGGGGAAACACAGGTCAGGCACAGGACAACGCATACTGACTATCATGTGACTGAGGAATGCTGCAAAGGTCGTAAATGGTCATAAAGTTATTTTTTCAGCACCGTCGTTAACTTCAGTTGCTGAATGAATGGTCATTAAGTGAGTACTACTTGTACAGTTTTCTCTGGCAGAACATACACAGGTGCAGACCATAAACAATAATTGGGAACAAGTAATTCACTCCTGTTTTGTACAAACAGTAGAACAATTTTTTTTTTTGGCTCATGTACCCATGGTGGGACAATAAAATATTCCCTTGGTGAACCATGTATCTATAGCCAAAATCTGCTACCATTTACATATGGTTCACTTGCTTTCCCCCTTTACATGAGTATGCAATACTTATGCCCAAAAGAACCTGTTGGTAGTGTTAATCTACAATCAATGGCCACATAGACGCCAAATGGAAATGTGGACATTTAAATACATTTTTAAGATAATGAAATTGCTGAATTAATTACTGAATTGAGTGTATGTTTCTTGCACATTTTGTCATCTTGAAGCATACAAGTTTGCTTTTACAGATCACTACTGATCTCTAAATATTAAATACAATATTAAATACAAATCACATTCACTGCGTCACGCATCATGTTACTAATTCAAGTGTCTCTTATCACTCTTTAAAAAGTGAACGTAAGTTTCCTTGTGTACTGAAGGTATTTCAGTAACGCTGTCCTGAATATATCTGGCAGTGTGGTTTCCAACAGCTGCTTCTATTTTGAGGGTGGGGTGGGGGGTGAGCAAAGTGCATTGAATGGACTGTGTGCCAAAATGGGAATGCTGTATATCAGAACTTGGAGGCACGCATTTTAAATTGAGGAGGTTCTAGATAGGAGCTGAAAATAAACTGCTGCTGGTCAAGAGTAGATTGGTGGCATCTGCAGGTGTCGAGCAAAGAGAGCATCCAAAGGATTTAAGAGTACACTGAGCTGGGAAGAGCAAAAACATATGTATTAAAAGGGAATACAGACATTTATCTGACACTGGTAATCTGTGAGACTGAAAATGGACAAGCAGTAGCACTTTCTGCCCCTTAAGTATATTTTCACCTTTTTAAATCCAGTCAGAGATATAACTGAATAATGTGCTAAGAAAGGCTCTTATTTCCTGGATGGATGGGTCAGAGGTGTTAAAGATTTAGATATTTTTCTATTGCATTATATGATCCTGCACTACTGAGTGGGACCATGTCACCCATATGCCTTCTCCCCTTCTGCAAGCAAGATCAACTTCATTTGATTGTAGCCTCAATTCAGAAGGGCACTGAACTTAATGCAAAACAGAATAGGTGCCTGTTTCTCCATCTTATAACTCTGGAAGTCAGGTGGCAGCATCTGGTTGACCTTGGCTAATCTCAAAAAGCTAAGTGGGACTGGATCAGATGATTTCTTGGATAGAAGGCCAATTTCAAGGTAAACTGGAAAGTAAAAAAAGAAATCCCAGAAGGCAGCAATGGAAACCATTTCTAAACTATTGTCAAGAAACTACATGGGCAGGTCTATGAAGTTCAACTCAAAGGAGACTCAATTTGGAACATGACACTAAAGACCTTTTTCTCAAAGAGTAACGGAAACAGTTGAAGCACAACAGTGTGAAATGATGTAAATTGTAGCTAAATATCTGATCCACTTCAACTGACCAACTGCAGGCCCAGATATTCCAATTTGGAAGCTAACCATTTTCACCATTACCTTTTAATCCCAGAATCCAAATTATTGTGTGGGGTTGTAACCTGGAGTGGCAGCTGACCGGGGTTATTAGGACGCGATATGTTTATACTATCCGGGCTTCCGGTGACTGGCCCACGGACTTTGCTCTGTGGAAGGGGAAAGAAACAGGTTGTTTTCTGCATGCAAACTGGAAATTGGGTAAGCTAATGGGGTGCCTTTAGCTCAACATGACATGTCTTAATTGTTACTTTCCCAATACTAGGGGACTTGAGCATTTCCCACCAAGTAGATTAGATAATGAGACTTCTTGTAATGGATGGCATGAGCGGGGAAGATTCTGGAATGGAAGTTCAAGGTTGTCAGGAGGGGGGAGAGACAT